AAGGTGTGAAGTGATGGAGGGCATTGAACTTGCGCTTCAAGCAGCCAACCAAGCTACGTATAACATCAGCATACAAATTTAGTAAACCGTAAAGAAAGATGATTCAGAATGGAGGTGGCCCAGGTGAGGTGTATTGGTGTGCACTGGTGCATTGTTTATACAGTATACGTGATTACAGTACCCCAAGCCGCAATACGTAAGGTCATTTTTGTAAAGTAAAAAAAAAAAAATGAAGAAATAAACCTACGTAAATTTCGGCGCCTCTTGCTTGCTTACTATTTCATTTTTATTACCTGATTGATTTGCCCACAAAATCGCAATTTTATTAACTATCCATTTCTTCATTTCAAACCTATAAATACCGCTCAAAACCGTTGCAACTTCCACACTTCACATCTCCTCCTCCTCTTTCAACAACTCGTTCTAAAGTAATTAAGACAAGTAGCCTCTTTATTTCTCCTACATCTCCATCTCACTCCTTTTTCAAATCAGAAAATCCTAAAACCAGCCAGCACAAATGGCAAACCCCAAAAGCCTCTCATATCCAGCAGCTGCAGTTTTTGCGTTGTTGATGATGGCTATAAGCATTACTAATGTGGATGCTGCAGCCGTCACTTTCAGTGTGAGCAGTTTAGGAGCCAAAGCAGATGGCAGTACTGACTCCACCAAGGCCTTCCTCTCTGCGTGGTCCAATGCTTGTGCCTCCGTCAACCCCGCTGTCATCTATGTCCCCGCAGGGAGGTTCTTGCTTGGCAATGCCGTGTTCTCTGGCCCATGCAAGAACAACGCCATCACCTTCCGCATTGCTGGCACCCTCAGTCGCCCCGTCTGATTATCAGGTCATTGGAAATGCCGGTAACTGGCTTCTCTTCCAGCATGTCAATGGGGTCACCATTTCCGGTGGAGTTCTCGATGGTCAGGGCACCGGATTATGGGATTGCAAGTCCTCAGGCAAGAGTTGCCCCAGCGGAGCAACTGTAAGTTTAACTTCTTCACTTATTTCATCGATATGGTTAATTTTTTTTTATAAAGAAAAGTTGGAACGTCGTCTCAACAGTGTCCCAGTACCTTTCATTCATATGCAAGATATTAACTATATATTGTGATTACGTGCATGTATCAAGTAAAAATTAAGATAATTTGGTGGTGACTCAAGGAAGTGATTAATTAGTGGAACATTATTAAATTAATAATTTGTCAATTTCCACCGGTAACGTGCTAATGACGGTTTTCTCCATTAACTACTTTTAACTATATATGGGTCGTTCGGTTTTCTGGGAAATGGGAATATGGACAGGTAACTGATTCTAATTAAAGAACATTAGTCTCATTGTATTCTTACTTCTAAAGAGCTAGCTTGAGTTCTTGTACAAGGAGTTGCAACATAATATCGTGTTCATGTCGAGAGAGGCGTCCCGAGACACCATGGGACACCAAATCCCTTCTTTATTCATGTTTCTAGATATTCATAATGCATCCACAAGTGAATTTGCTTTCTCTACCGTTCATCCCTCGCACGATTTCTGACTCAACCTCATGCCTTCACTAATTGTCGTATCAAAGCAGCAATATCATAAAAATTGATGATAAATAGCCCCACAAATGCATGTGCTTGTATGGTATTATATAACTGATGTCGATAATTTCGAAGGTCAACCACTTAATTGCTTGCACTAGGGGAATCATGAGTTAGTAATTAAGTTCCAAATTCCATTTGGAATTAATACTTTAGTTAATACGAAATTATGTACTAGATCTGTATATGGAAGTTAATTTGTGTAAATTAATCATATGTAGACACTGGGCTTTTCCAACTCCAACAACGTTGTGGTGAGTGGATTAGTATCACTAAACAGCCAAATGTTCCACATTGTCGTCAACGGCTGCCAAAATGTGAAAATGCAAGGTGTCAAGGTTAACGCGGCCGGCAACAGCCCCAACACCGATGGCATCCATGTCCAAATGTCATCTGGAGTCACCATTCTCGACTCCAAAATTTCAACCGGTGACGACTGTGTCTCAGTTGGCCCCGGCACTACCAATTTGTGGATTGAAAACGTCGCATGTGGACCCGGCCACGGAATCAGGTACATATCTAGCTACATAAAAAATAATAAATAATAATAAAAAAAAATTGTATACATATTATTTAAGCTAATTATTAGCTAGATTAATGTATAATAATACACTTCTAACTTTGACAATATTTGCTTGTGCAGCATTGGGAGTTTAGGGAAGGACCAACAAGAAGCCGGTGTACAAAATGTTACAGTTAAAACAATTACATTCACTGGTACTGAAAACGGCGTCAGAATTAAGTCTTGGGGAAGACCTAGCACTGGATTTGCTAGGAGCATTCTTTTCCAACATATTGTGATGACCAATGTTCAAAATCCAATCATTATTGATCAAAATTACTGCCCTAATGACAAAGGTTGCCCCGGCCAAGCTTCTGGAGTTAAGGTCAGCGATGTGACGTATGAAGATATTCATGGTACATCCGCGACGGAAGTGGCGGTGAAATTCGATTGTAGTTCCATGTATCCTTGCAACGGGATCAGACTGCAAGATGTGAAGCTCACTTACAATAACCAAGCAGCTGAAGCTTCATGCATCCATGCAGGCGGAACAACTGCCGGTACGGTTCAGCCGACAAGTTGTTTCTAACTCGAGTTGTAGTTTTTTCCATCTACTCCTCCTTACTCGGGGTCTCGCAGTACTAGTTGGGATAAAAAAGAAGGGACTAGTCATACTATAAACTATATATATATATATATATATATATATATAAGAATTAAAGAATATTTCTAGAGTAGTAGCTATAGCTCTAGCTCTAGCTAGTTGTCGTATTGAGATGTATTTTGCGTAAGCCTGCGGTGTTGGCAGCCTATTGGGGTTCCTTAAAGCCTGGCCCTGCATCATCCAAACCCACTTCATGGAGAGATTCTCTTTTGCATTGGGTGCTTTGTATTATGGAATGTTGTAACTTGAAAATGATAAATACAATATAAATTAAAACTAAATGTATTGTTTATATGTGCTTTTGTTTTCAATTAATTTTATGGATTTGGTTTATTTGGAAATTTTTAGTTTTTAATTTGGGTAAAAGACTCAGACAACTTTATGTATTTTTTTTCAGAGTAATGCTATTTAAAAATATAATTTTGACAAATTTTTAATATATTTTTAAAAAATGTGAAGCGAATAACGAGTTCGTAACTAATTTTTTCTCGCTTTCTTAGTATAAATATATCGTTATATTAAAAATAAAAAATAATAATAAAAAAAAAAGCCAACCTACTCTATTAAAAAGTATGTCTAAATAGCATTATCGGTATTTTTGTAACCATAGATATATTGGGGCTGGACCACAAGGCTTAAATAGGACACATTCATCAAATGGGGCCTTTAATTAATTTTGGAAGGAAAAAATAAAGGGATAACTTGATATAGATCCAATTTTGTGAGTCATTAGTAGAATTAGTCCACTTCATTGAAATAGGTCCAATAATTGAGATTCCATGTATGTTTATTTATGGTTTGTACCATATTTACCCCTTAGGCTTACGAATTGTAGTAAATACACAAAATTTCTTAATTATGAGATAATTTGTGGTTTAACTAATCCCTTAATTGTAGGATTAGTTATAGCCGTATAATCACCTCAACCCCCAGTCTGTTTCATCCCTCCTTTTTTCCTTCTTCCAAACAATTCCCTCTATCAATCCTCCTCTTTTTTGTCTCTTCTTTTCATGGGTGATATTTTTGTGTTCTTCCCTCCAAATTCGTTCCTTTAATGGAGGTATATTATATCATATTTATATTTTTATGTTCCGCCATGTAGGTTGCCAGCATTTTTCTTCCAATACAATAGGTAGTTTATTTTTGTTTTGCAAGTAGATTATATCTGCTTTGTAGGTATAAAACATTTTCTTCCTATACAATAGGTAGGTAGTTACTAGATTATATCGGTCTTGTTTTCTTCATAAATAGTAGGTAGTTACTAGATAATATTTTAGTTTGAGTATTTAAATATTCAAAATTTAAAAACTGAATAAATGATAAAAAAAAATTAAAGAAATTAAATATTTTTATCTGAAAGGGTAAAATTGATATCAAAATATGTAATTGGATAACTGGACTCGGTCCCAAAAACTATCTAAGTTTTTGGACCTAGAACTTGATATAGATCCAATTTTGTGAGTCATTAGTAGAATTAGTCCACTTCATTGAAATAGGTCCAATAATTGAGATTCCATGTATGTTTATTTATGGTTTGTACCATATTTACCCCTTAGGCTTACGAATTGTAGTAAATACACAAAATTTCTTAATTATGAGATAATTTGTGGTTTAACTAATCCCTTAATTGTAGGATTAGTTATAGCCGTATAATCACCTCAACCCCCAGTCTGTTTCATCCCTCCTTTTTTCCTTCTTCCAAACAATTCCCTCTATCAATCCTCCTCTTTTTTGTCTCTTCTTTTCATGGGTGATATTTTTGTGTTCTTCCCTCCAAATTCGTTCCTTTAATGGAGGTATATTATATCATATTTATATTTTTATGTTCCGCCATGTAGGTTGCCAGCATTTTTCTTCCAATACAATAGGTAGTTTATTTTTGTTTTGCAAGTAGATTATATCTGCTTTGTAGGTATAAAACATTTTCTTCCTATACAATAGGTAGGTAGTTACTAGATTATATCGGTCTTGTTTTCTTCATAAATAGTAGGTAGTTACTAGATAATATTTTAGTTTGAGTATTTAAATATTCAAAATTTAAAAACTGAATAAATGATAAAAAAAAATTAAAGAAATTAAATATTTTTATCTGAAAGGGTAAAATTGATATCAAAATATGTAATTGGATAACTGGACTCGGTCCCAAAAACTATCTAAGTTTTTGGACCTAGATCCAAAAGCCCCAAAAATAAATTATCCTCTTAATTTTTCGTACGAATTTTGACTTTCGCATTATCCTCTCAATTTTTATAATTAGTCAAACATTAGATTATGAAAAATTTCGCAAATTTTGCATCAAACCGGAACGAGTGACAGAGAGAGGCAGGGGTAGCGCAGTGCAGGTAAGGAGAAAGCAAAATCGAAAGCCATGGCGGAAGTGAAGAACAAACAGGTGATATTCAAGGAGTATGTGGAAGGGTCTCCCAAAGAATCGGACATGAACTTTACAGATGCTGCCACCATCAAGTTGAAACTCCCTGATGATGAAGACGAAGCTTCGAAAGCCGTGTTGGTGAAGAACCTCTACTTGTCATGTGATCCTGTGATGCGCATCCTTATGAGAAAACCTGGAGACGAAACTTCAGCTTATTTTACACCCTATGCCCCTGGTTCTGTACGTAAACACTCGTATTACTTATTTGTCTTTTCCTTTGATTTTCATTTCTCAGCAGAAAATTATATGTCTAGTGTAGAAACAATAATATAGCAAATCGATTTTTAATTTTAGGCAGAGATTTCGTCCAAATTAACAACCCTTGAGTCCCTTTTTTATTTTACTTTTTTTTTTTTTTTTTTTTTTTTTTTAATTTGGAAATTTAGTGGCCTTTGAACTTGAACATGTAATTGCTTGAAGATTTCCAACACATTGGTGTGGTATTCAATTCATCCACGGGTCAAATTGTTGAACTATAAATATGGATGTATGCTTTTAAAATTTGATGTGGTTGTTGTATAGAGTGCTGAGACTGTATCTGCTAACAATTCTTGATGAAACCACTGCAGCCCTTGAGTGGGTATGGAGTGGCTAAAGTTTTGGATTCCAGAAACTCGAACTTTAAGGAAGGTGACCTAGTCTGGGGTACAACCAAATGGGAAGAGTACAGCGTAATCACCGCACTGGAAAGCCTCCGTAAGATCCAACACACCGATGTACCCCTTTCTTACTACACTGGCATTCTCGGTAAGTTGTTTGGTCACCCACAATGTTTAGGTCGAACTCAGTTTTGAAAGGAAAAGATGGTTCAACATATTTATGTATCTGCCTGTTTCAACTAATGGAAACTATCATCTATAGATTGACAGTTTCTCTGTGTGTGTGTGTGTGTGTCAAATAAACATACTTTTGGGGCTAGTTTGTCAAAGTTCAAGCTGTCGCACTGAAAACTAGCCCCAAAATACTTTTAACCGAAAGTAGTGTTTGATGTGTTTCTTTTTTTGAACTCGAATGTGTTTGAGTTGCCTTTAATCATTTAAATTAGTTGGCTTACCGTTGGAAATTGTGACGATGACTGCTAATGATCTTAGATTTTCGACAGAAGTTTTAGAAGACTTTGGATATAAGCGAATTGAGTCCCCTAGATAACTTTAGTTGAGTTGGGACTTATGAGTTATAAAAGCAGAGTCTTGCATTTATCTTTTTAATGGTTTGGAAGATGTACTAGGACAGTTCGTGTGATTTTCTTATGTCCCTTGACATGTACCCTCAAAGCTCCCTGTAAGTTATGTGCATTTCCTTTTTCCTTCTTCTGTAGGTATGCCTGGTCTGACTGCCTATGCAGGCTTCAACGAAGTTTGTTTTCCTAAGAAGGGAGAATATGTCTTCATTTCAGCGGCATCTGGTGCGGTTGGTCAGCTAGTTGGACAGTTTGCAAAGTTGTTGGGTTGTTACGTTGTCGGAAGTGCTGGAAGTAAAGAAAAGGTATAAACTTGGCATCTTTTTCCCCCATTCACTTGCTGTATCTTTCCTGCTTTCGGACACAACACATTATAGGATTTTATGGTTAGTTTTGCTTGACAATGTTAAAGTATTGTGACAATTTTCGTTATGAAATTCTTAAAAGTTGAGAAAACCTATGCTTTTGATCGCATTTTATTTTCTACTTACGTGCCATTTTCTGTGGCTGCTATCTAGAATGTATAATATGATTGTCTAGTTGGATATAATGCAGAAGTCCAAAAGCATTTTTCACTTTTGCGTGCAAATTTCTAAAAACGGAGTTTATTTATCCCAAGAATAACTTAAGTGTTCTAAAATTTAATAGATTATGAAAGTTCAAGGTTGTTGCATTTGGTGGGGTATCTGGTTCAATATAGTTTTAAACAGTAGTGATCAATTTCTGCCTTTTTTTTACTAGGTTGACCTTTTGAAGAGTAAGCTTAACTTTGATGAAGCTTTCAATTACAAGGAAGAGCATGACTTGAACGCAACTCTGAAAAGGTCAGTGCATATTTGCATATACATTGAGCTTGAATTTTGCTCTGAAGCCGAAGAATGCATATTTTAACAACTTTTAGGTCCTGCGAAGAGTATGTATAACTTTTGAGCTTCATCTGTGCGGTATACATCTTTGTCAATCTATCACACGAATTTGAAAGAATCAGTAACGCAAAGCTTTATTTATCTCTGCAACTTTCTGCAAAAGGAACTTGCATACACAGTTTAAGCAAGGTCACTCATCACAACCTGCTTCTTTCAGGTACTTTCCCGAAGGCATTGACATATACTTTGAGAATGTCGGGGGGAAATTTCTTGACGCAGTCCTCCTTAACATGAGAGTCCACGGCCGCATTGCAGTGTGCGGAATGATTTCACAGTACAATCTTGATCAACCTGAAGGTGTCACAAATTTGATGTGTCTCGTATATAAGCGGATCCATATGCAAGGTTTTACAGTCCGCGATTACTATCACCTCTATCCCAAGTACTTGGACTTTATACTTCCTTGTATAAGAGAGGGAAGGGTGGTCTATTTAGAAGACATTGCTCAAGGCCTCGAGAACGGACCAGCTGCGTTGGTTGGACTTTTTAGGGGACGCAACGTCGGAAAACAAGTAGTTTCAGTTTCCCAGTTTTAGCGGAGCATTCCGTTGTGTATCTTCTTGTGCCTGTGTCAATGCGTCATGTCTCCGTGGGACTAAATCGTAGGTCTGTGTTTGTCAATAACGTAATTACCTAATGTAGGCGTGTATTGACTTAATGAATAACAGCAGACAGACAAACTAAGTATCTGATGTCTGCGTTTGTGAAACTTGCAAGACCAGTTTATCACATTGGATGTTTTCCTCTTTGTCCATCCTGTACTTTGTTGATGACCATTGGATTGTTTGAAGGGACCAGATTTTAAGATATTTCATTCCCTACTTTTCTGTGAGGGATTACGTTTACCTGTCAAAATAGGAAAGCATTTAGGATTGAATCTTTGTTTTCCTATAAATGCATGACTCCGTTGTTATTGTGTGTGATACGAGTCTTGTTCAACGCTTGCTTAGTTCGGACGTGCCAGTTGGCAGCTACAACCCAGGATTTTAAGAAAATTAATGAAAAGAGCTTGAAAACTTTGAGTTTTAACGATAAGGACAAAATAAAGGGTAAAGTAAATAGTACAATGATTGTCTTTTTAGTCTAAAAATGTGATTTTTCATTAAAATAAATAGTACCGGGAGCTTTTCGTTAGAGTTTCAAAAAATTTATACAAATTTGGGGGTTTGAAGTGGGCTTAGTTAGGCCCGGCCCAGTACGACCGACTTGATCATTGTCTTTGGTGCGAAAGGAGCCAGGGCTTACAATCTGGATTCAGATTAATCGTCGTCGTCGTCGTCTTCTGCTTCTTCTACTTTGTCGAATTCTTCAAGCTTTCATCTTTCGTCGGACGAAAGCGAAAAAGCTTCATCTTTCGAGAAACTGAGGTATTTTTATTACCTTTCTTTTTGTCTTTTTTAATTTATATTTTTATTCATCTTGTGTGAGAATTCATTCGAGGATTATTCTAACTATGGGCATTGAAATTTTACAACTTTTTCCATTTTTCCAAATTTTTACGTGGCTAATATACAGCTGATTTTCTATTGAATTTTTACTCGTATTCTTTCCGGACGGATTCTTTATATTTGTCGGAAATTAATTTTGTATATGAGTGATTAAATTTCGAAGCTGTCTCTTTGCCGAATCCAAGTGAGCGGCCCTTTTAAGCGTCTGAAAGGAGCTTGGGTCTATGATTCTATTCATTGTTAAAATTTTAGTTTGGTTTGTTTTTTTTTTTATAAATATATTTTACGAATTTCCTTCCTAACCGATTCAATCAGTTGCGGCGCGTCTTAATTTTATTTTTAAGTGGTACTTGAATTCCGAGCATCATCTTTAGAAATTGGAAAAGTTGATTGCTTTTCCATAATCCCTGCAAACTATGCAAGTTCTATGAGTATGTGCTTGATTCAGAACAATGCCTACTTGTTTTGTTAAAGAGAAAATCATGTATCAAGAAATTGCGGGTTGTGGCTTTTTTCTAAAAACTCGAAGAAATCGCCGCTGGCTTAAAGTTGAATGTTAGCTTTAGGTTTTGTAGAAACTACATCGGTAGAACCTTTGGGATGTTGGACTGAGGTAGTGAGGTTTTTCGTTAATTAGTTGGGTTATGTTTGTTAATTGGTTTTCTTATAACGTTAAAGGTAGCTGATATGGTTTTTCATTTTTTGTTAACTAGATAACTGCAATGGGAAGAAAGAAGACAGAGGAGAGTGGTGCATCCACGAAGGCTAAGTCAACTGGCAAAGATGCTTCTAAAGATGGGAAAAAAGAGAAAATATCAGTCTCTGCAATGTTGGCCAGCATGGACCAGAAACCCGATAAGCCCAAGAAAGGAACTTCTTCAAGTGCAAAGGCAAAAGCAGCTCCAAAGCGTCAATCTTACACTGATGGTATTGATCTCCCTTCCTCTGATGAAGAAGATGAGGATGTGTTGGAAGAGGGCCAACAAGAAGTAAATGTATCCAATCAACAAAAGCGGCAAGAATTTAAGCCGCTTGATGTGTCTATATCAGAGAAAGAGTTGAAAAAGCGTGCTCAGAAGGACCTTCTTGCTGCCCATGCCGTTGAGCAGGCTAAGAAGGAGGCCCTTAAAGACGACCACGATGCTTTCACTGTTGTTATTGGAAGCCGAGCATCGGTACTTGATGGTGAAGATGGCGATGCTAATGTTAAGGATATAACAGTAGAAAATTTCTCCGTGTCTGCTCGGGGAAAGGAACTTCTAAAGAACGCATCAGTGAAGATAACACATGGGAAGAGATATGGTTTGGTTGGGCCCAATGGAATGGGCAAGTCTACTCTCCTGAAGCTTCTTGCTTGGAGGAAGATTCCAGTACCAAAAAATATTGATGTCCTTTTGGTTGAGCAAGAGGTAGTTGGTGATGACAGAACTGCTCTTGAAGCAGTTGTTTCAGCTAATGAAGAACTTGTCAAAATACGAAAAGAGGTTGCAGATTTGCAGAATTCAGCTTCTGCTGATGAAAAGGACAGTTTTGATGATGATACAGGAGAGAAGCTCTCTGAATTGTATGAGAAATTGCAGTTGATGGGATCAGATTCAGCTGAAGCTCAGGCTTCAAAAATTCTTGCTGGGTTGGGGTTCACACAGCATATGCAAGGCCGTCCCACTAAGTCCTTCAGTGGTGGGTGGCGGATGAGAATTTCATTGGCAAGGGCACTTTTTGTTCAGCCAACTCTTTTGTTGCTTGATGAACCCACCAACCATCTTGACTTGAGGGCTGTTCTCTGGTTGGAGGAATACTTGTGCCGTTGGAAAAAAACTTTGGTCGTTGTTTCACATGACCGGGATTTCCTTAACACGGTTTGCAGTGAGATTATTCATCTGCATGATCTGAAACTTCACATCTACCGTGGAAATTTTGATGATTTTGAAACTGGTTATGAGCAACGTCGCAAAGAGGTGAACAAAAAGTTTGAAATTTATGACAAGCAGATGAAAGCTGCCAAAAGGAGTGGAAGTCGGGCTCAACAGGATAAAGTCAAGGATAAAGCAAAGTCTGCAGCAGTTAAGGAAGCATCAAAGAACAAGGCCAAGGGAAAAGTTGATGAAGATGATTCACCAGCTGAGGCTCCTAAGAAGTGGAGAGATTACAGTGTGGAGTTCCACTTTCCTGAACCTACAGAGCTTACTCCTCCACTTTTGCAACTTGTTGAAGTCAGCTTCAGTTATCCAAATCGGGAGGATTTCAGGCTGTCAGGTGTTGATGTTGGTATTGATATGGGGACTCGTGTTGCCATTGTTGGACCTAACGGAGCTGGAAAGTCTACTCTGCTCAACCTTCTTGCAGGTGATTTGGTTCCTTCTGAGGGTGAAGTACGGAGGAGTCAGAAGTTGAGGATCGGTAGGTATTCACAGCACTTTGTGGACCTTCTGACCATGGGTGAGACCCCAGTTCAGTACCTTCTCCGGCTTCATCCAGACCAAGAGGGGCTTAGCAAGCAAGAGGCTGTTCGTGCAAAGCTTGGAAAATACGGACTCCCCAGCCACAACCATCTCACTCCCATTGCAAAATTATCTGGAGGGCAGAAAGCCCGGGTTGTGTTCACGTCAATATCCATGTCAAGGCCCCACATTTTGCTGTTGGATGAACCGACAAATCATTTGGATATGCAGAGTATTGATGCACTGGCCGATGCACTTGATGAATTCACCGGTGGAGTTGTGCTGGTGAGTCATGATTCTAGGCTGATATCGCGCGTGTGCGAGAATGAAGAGAGGAGTGAAATTTGGGTTGTTGAGAATGGCACGGTGATCCCTTACCCTGGAACTTTCGAGGAGTACAAGGAGGAGCTACAGAGAGAAATTAAAGAGGAGGTCGATGACTGAGGTTTGCATTTTTTTATTGTTGTAAAATTTTGCTGATCATTCTTAAGATATTCCATGAGTTTGGTTGTTGCTTGCTAATGTAATTTTGTTGGTTTTTGTGAGTGTAACAGTTAATAGAGATGTATTCAACTTTTATATGCAGTTTGCAAGCAACTTCTCATAGATAATTATAATAATGTTTTTTATTCTTCTTCTTAGTAATGGTTTTGAGAGAAGTGATTCTCTAATCCAAAATACTCTCATTTCTAAACTAAAACTGACCTTGTTAAAACTACGGACTCGTTTTAGTGTTTTGGATTGCATTGAAATTGACCTACCAATTTCAGGTACAGTGAAAGTAGTCTTTTGGAAGGGGTCAAAAGAAAATTGGACTTGGCCACGAAGGAAACTCATCAATTTTAATCATGCAAGCCATTTTAAAGGGATTGCAATAGATAAGTTTTTGTCATGGGTATCTGTTAGGTTATCCATTTTGTTTCAATACTAGTCCTAGACACGAAACGAGGCCTACAAAAATGGTATTTGAACTTGGTTGTTAGAATATATATGTTGATTCAAGACTCCATTTGATAGATCATTCTTGCAAATACGATTTTTCAAAAAAAAAAAAAAAATTAATGACTACCATTACATCTAACAGTCAAATAGTTTCGAATTTTGGTATTTGTGATAGAGATGATCTTTAAGAGAAGGGTTAGAAGATGAACAGTTCAATCATCGAAACGCGATACGTAGTAGGGATGCAGATATCCCTCTATTTGTTGGGTGGCTCTCCATTTATTGGTTGGGCGATGATCCCTTTCCTATACTATTTTACATTTTATTATCCAAAAAAAGTTGAATAATGATAAGGCACATGCATAAAGGAGAAAAATATTCAGTAGAGTTGTCTTATAAAAAGGCAGCTTTCACACATGGAATGGGTTGTCTAATTAGACCAAAATACAAGTGAATCAATATGTATGTATTGTTTGTTATCAAATCCTTAGTGGTTTGGTATTACGTATTATTAAGCAAATCAAAAGACATGTATTCGTCCGGATAACAAGCTTGCCACAAACCTGTAGAAATATAAACTTGTAAATGTATAAGAAAAGCATTTGCACAGTAGACGGTTATACCATATGGCTAAAGGTTGAGACTTGGGAGCCATGGAGAGTCTGATGAAATCATTCTCGGGAAACTGCAACCACCTGCTTTCCTACATTGCGGCCGGTAAAGAGCCCTACCAGAGCAGCTGGAGCGCTCTCAAGGCCTTCCACTACATCTTCCACGTATATTATCTTCCCTTCTTTTATGGCCGGCAGAACCATTTCAAGTAACTAAAAACCGTGAAACCTTGCATGCGAACCTGTTTACTGACCAGATACATTAAATTGTGACAACCTTCCCGCTGGTCAAGGGTGTACTGCGATGTCATCCCACAAACTGCAATCCGGCCATGGACCCTCATGTTTTGTAGCACTGCATCAAGCATCTTTCCCCCGACATTTTCAAAGTATATGTCAATGCCTTCAGGAAAGTATCTGGTAAGCAAATCACACATTAGACTATAAGCAAACACCAAAAACCATGGACCATATCTACAAAGAGGACAAAGACGTGAGTTTCTCGTCAGCAGCAACATGCTCGCACTGTCACATTTCAACTTACTTTTTCACTGTTTTAGGATTGGGGACTAAATTAGAGATTGCTAATGCCTTTATTGGACTTTCCCCTCGTAATTAAAACACAAGTAAAAGCTTTAAAATAATAGTTTGATTCTGTTCAACACATATCTACTGGCCTTTTTAAAGCTGCATCCAAATCAGGCTCTTCTTTGTAATTGAAAGCATTGTCAAACCCCAACTTGTTCTTCACCAGATCAACCTGAACTCAGAAATGATATAATATGGCAAGAATGGTTAAAACATTGTCATTCACAATACGGAAAACTGTAGGAATGAGGCGAAAAAGCTCAAAGATGCACATTTCTCCATACTTTATTAAGTAGCATATTCTTGCGGTGTCATATGATATGAACATTCTTCCAACCAGATGAGGCAGCAGGTTCAAAACAGGTCAAGGCTGAATTTTACCCACTTGATTATGAAGATAAAGGGTCACCAATATCTGTACTTGCCAATAAGTTCTCTTATTTTCCCCTTACTCTAGAATCAAAATTTTCCCAGTCGCCAATTTGGCAAACATCGATCACTAAACACATGTTTCTAAACCAAGAATAATTATCTGATTGAGTCACAATCACAGAAATGCCAACTAAGACATGGTTGAAATCGACCATACTCACCTTTTCTTTGCTTCCGGCACTTCCAACAACATAGCAACCCAACAACTTTGCAAATTGGCCAACAAGCTGACCTACCGCTCCAGATGCTGATGAAACGAAGACCGTCTCTCCCTTCTTAGGATTGCAGACCTCATAAAAACCAGCATAAGCAGTCATTCCAGGCATACCTTCAAAAAATGAATACATTAGATGAGCTTTGAGCATCAACTAAATATACGATGCATTACAAAGCCATATAACTCAAGTACCATCATAAAAGACACAAGACTTGAGATAGCTGCTTGTGGCAGAGCAATTTTTATAAGAAATACATCCAAAGGCGGGGAAATAGCAATAATAGCCAATATATAGCAACATACCAAGAATTCCAGTATAGTAAGAGAGAGGCACATCAGTGTGCTGAATCTTAAACAAAGACTCTGTTGCAGTGATAACACTGTACTCTTCCCACCCGGTCATTCCCCAAATGAAGTCGTCTGGCTTAAACTTGGGATCCCCGGATTCCAAAACTTTGGCAACTCCATATCCGCCTATAGGCTGCCACACCAGCATTTCAATATCCAACGGTAAATAAAGAGAAAGCACAGCATTGAAGAGATAAGTTGTCTCAAAGTATAAATCATTAAATCATCCCAACATCAATAAAAAGAGCGACCCAAGCCAAAAAGCTTGCCCATTTCCGAGGGTCAAGGGACTTCTAAAAATGAGGCTAACCATCCGACGTGATTAATAATTGTGATCCTCAGTCACATTAATTAATACTAGTATTACTTGATAGATCTTAAGGAAGTGAATATAGAAATACCTAAAGGATTCAACTTTTTATAATTTTTTTTATTTCTACTCAAGTTCCCAATTTTAAACTTGAAGAAAAAGGCAAATGCACAACGCCTTGGCCTTCACCCAGAGATGTGAAAGTATTCAACTTTGATTTGAAACAAATTCTTAGTAAGGCAGGCAGAGACTGTAGAAGCAGGTAGTTATTTATTTATTTTTTTGAACAAATAATATTATTTACACTAAATGATGGAAGAATAGATTAAACCACACAATACGCCAATAATAATGTTGTTCAAATTTGCTATAATAAAATTAGAACATCTCATACCGTAATACTGAGTAGCGGTAGAGGCAAACAGTTAAAAAGAAGAAATTACACTAAAATAATAAAATAAAGGGTTCTTTAGATATAGACCCTTGAAACTCCTATTTTCCAAATAAAAACCCATCTAAATTTAAACATTCAAATAAAACCCAAATTTCAAATAGCCTACCATGTAGACAAATATATGACCAACTATTACAATACAATTACAACTTATGCCATAGAATCCTAATTTGGTCAATAAATGTTATTACTCATCCTAATTATGATGAGCAATTAAATCCATATGGATATTTTACCTTTCTTGTATCATAAATTTTAGCAACATATATAAATTAATTTCCCAAATTTAAAAGAGAAAGACAATCTTGTACGGAAAAAATAATATTGTTTGAATTATGTAATTATCTACATACAAATTAATTTACCTACTTATAAAATATTATACTAATAAACCTGCATTTTGAATCATGTAATTACCTACTTATTAATATTATACTAATTTACCAACGTTTAAATTAATTTACCTACTTATAAAATATTATACTAATTTACCTACTTATTAATATTATACTAATTTACCTACATTTAAATTAATTTACCTATTCCAAAAAAAAAAAAAATTAGTGATATTAGATAATGTTCGAATGTTGTGGGTTTGTGCTTGTAGGCAATTAAATAAACTTTTAATCTAATGCACATAAATCATGTAGGTAAATTAGACCATTTTGAAGGTAAACTAGACCCTTTAAATTTTGGTTTGATGTAATAGGTAAATTAGACTATTTTGTAGGTAAGAATTGTGCGGAACATATAGCTTTTGTTTTATGTATTAGGGATTGGAATATTAGCCGAAGCTGTTTTAGGTTTATTGTTGTGTTGGTAGGTAAATTAACTTATATATGTAATGCACAAAATTATGAAATTAGTATTATTATTTTTCAATTGGCACGTTATAACAATTTGAAAGTTAATACATTGAATATAAAATGAATGGCATGAATTATTTTGTAAAATATATAAAATTAATTAAATGGATATAACAAGTAACTGATCCAAAAACCCCATCCAAGTATTAATAGGGGTAGTTTAGGCATTCAAAAAATACACAATTTGAAAAGTCAAACTTAATTAAAGAATTTGTTTAATTGAAGGCTAGTCAATGGGCTTTATTCAAGAAAACAAAAGGAGATGGGTTTTAGTAGAGGAAAATATAGTTTCAAGGGGTAATATCAAATTTTCAGTAAAATAAATAGAGAGAGATAAGATAATATAGATGTATTGACTGACCGAACCGGGTTTGAAGGAACCGACATAACCGGCGCCAGGTTCAGGCTTGGTCATGCGGAATCTCGTATAAGGGTCGCAGGACAAGTAGAGGTTCTTCACCAGAACCCCTATGGAACCTTCTGGAAGCTTGAGCTTGGTGGTGGCGGTGATGAGTTGCATGTCAGATTCTTTGGGGAAGCCGGTCACATAGTCTTTCAGTAGCACCCGCTTGTTATTGATCACTCCCTCTGTACTCACCGCCATTGGATCGATTATTGCTGTTTTCTTTTCCTTGAGTCTCTTTTTACTCACTCTTTCTGTAGGCGGAGGGCGATAAGAGCAGTGCTGCTGCTGCCTCAATGGTTGATTCCAAGTCGATGGATTCGGAAGCGGTGAAAATGGGGTTTAGTTTGTAGGGGGTAGACTGCACGTAGGCCATGGCGTAATGCAGCGCTCTTAGCCCGGAGACGCTGTGTGATTATATTCCTGACACGTGTGAGATTAGAACAAATAAAGTCCGCGAATCCGCGAGTAGGGTCGAGACATTTCCATTCCAACCATTTTGCTGATTCAATATCACAAGTTTAATCTCCCTTTTTCTTTTAGTAACGTTGCTCAACATTTAACTCAATTGCAGCAATGATTTTTTAATTTTATTTTTGTAACATTGATTCTTCAACTTATTAAAATGCACAGTTATTATCATTTTCGTCTATTCTGTCAATATTTTCGTTAAACTCGTCACTTGTGTGGCACGTGTAAAGGCAAATAAGGAAACATAATTTCGCAAGGGTCGAAGTCGATCGAACGCATGCATAGGGGGCTGGAGGTTAGGAATGAAAACATCTCCAATTGAAACTTCCTCTCATATTCTTCAAATTCCCACCATGTATGGCAATAATCAGCTTTAATTAGTGAAGAAAAACGACAACAAAAACTGACAAGTTTTCTGCAAAATATTGGTGGATTCGAAGAGGGTATGGACGATGTAGTGTGGAAGAGGAGAAGGCTTTACTGCACTAGTACATGAGATTTGGCATGGAAGAAGTTTCAATTGGGGATGTTTTTCTTCGTAACCTCCAGCCCCCTTTGCTCCATTCCATCGACTTCAACCCTATGTTTCCTTATTTGCCCTTACACGTGCCACACATGTAACTGGGTTTAACGGAAATATTGACGGAGTGGATGGAAACGACTATAGTTACACATTTTGACAAGTTGAGGAATTAATAATCACGGAAATAAAGTTGAGGGATCATCGCTCTAATTGAGTTAAAGTTGAGAAATCATTCCTATAATTTTCCCTTAAAAATAAACTATATGGAAAGTAAAAGGTGTTCAAAGTTGCACAAGTACGATTACCAACAAACACAATGACACTTTTTATTTCCCATTAAGCAGGAAACATCAACACTCATTAATCAAAATCGAGTAAATACAACAAACAGCTGATTGAAATTGAACCAAATTTACGAACAATGACACAACTCGTGGAAAAATTAGAATTAGGAACTAAATAGAGATTAGTCGCGAGCAACAAGAACAACTCCTTTTCCGGCATTACGGCCAGAGAAAAGGCCAACGAGCGATGCAGGACCATTCTCAAGGCCTTGAGTCATGTCTTCCACACAAGTGATCTTGTTTTCTCGGATGTAGGGCACCACAAGATCCAAGAACTTGGGATACAAGTGGTAGTAATCAAACACAGAAAAACCTTCCATACGAACGCGCTTGTAAATCAGATGCATTAAATTGTGGACTCCTACGTGCTCCTCGAAATTGTACTGTGAAATCATCCCGCACACGGCAATGCGGCCATGAAGTCTCATGTTCATGAGCACTGCATCGAGCATTTTGCCCCCAACGTTCTCCCAGTAAATGTCAATGCCTTCTGGGAAATACCTACCACACATGAATAATTGACTAATTAGTCAATAATTAACTTCTGTAATTAGTTTAATACGTGCATGATGAGTGCAGTCCTTAATTATTTATGTGTCATTGTCTATTGTAAAAACCAACCTTTTCAAAGCCGCATTCAAGTCAGGCTCTTCCTTATAATTGAAAGCCTCATCAAATCCAAACTTCTTTTTCAACATATCAACCTAAATATTGGAGAATAATACGCACAAGTACAGAATGTAATTAGTAACGATATATATATATATATATATATATGCAGCTCAAATAAATTAAAAAATTACGCAAGCGCGTATTCAAAAGATTTAGGTTGTGATTAAATAACTAAGTGGATTAGATTAGGGTCGGCACCTTTTCTTGACTTCCAGCACTTCCAACAACATTACAACCCATGAGTTTGGCAAATTGGCCGACGATCTGACCAACAGCTCCAAACGCGGATGAGATGTACACTTTTTCTCCTTTCTTAGGTTTACAAACTTCGTAGAAACCAGCATAAGCAGTCATGCCAGGCATACCTATATAACGGCGTCATTAGTAGAGTTACAAGTACTATAAAACTGAATGAGTGAATTACATGTACACGTACCGAGAATTCCAGTGTAGTAGGAAAGGGGCACATCGGTGTGGTGGATTTTGAAGAAACTTTCAGTGGTAGTGATGAGAGTGTACTCCTCCCATTTTGTGATGCCCCAAACTAAATCACCTGCCTTGAAGTCAGGATGCTTAGAATCTACAACTTTACAAACTCCATATCCAACGATTGGCTGGTAGAACGTTTAAAGGAATATTAATTAGTTCCGTAATAAGAAAAAGAAAAGCAATGTTTAATTAAGTGAATAATGATCACTTAGTATTACGATCTAGTGATATTCCTCTTCATTTATAAGTGAGAGGTCTTAGGTTCGATTCTCGCCAAAAACAAATTCGAATTACATTATTGTTAATCCGTTGTGACGCTAAGCTGATCCTCTCCTTCTTAGTATAGATAATATAGTTTATTCAAAAATTAAGCAAGTAACGTGATTACTCACTTGGTCGGTGGCAAAGAAAACAATGCGATCCTGGGCACCAGTAGAGGCATCCCTGTGCTTAACGCCTCGCATGTAGGGATCACAGGACAAATAGAGATTCTTCACCAAAATGGCGCCAGCATATTCATCTGCTGCAGGCACCTTGAGTTTAATGTTGCTTGTGTTCAAGTACATGTCCGACTCCTTGGGGATCGCACTAATGTAATCTCTGGCCAGCACTTGCTGGTTCCTGATCACTTCCTCCTCTTCACGTTCACGATCATTACCATAATTTCCTGCCATTCCTTAATTTACTAATTAATTAACTTCTTTCACCTCTCTCTCTCTCTACCTCTCAGTCTCCTAAAATCAGAGAAAAACCAGAAATATTAATTGAAGATGAGAAATTTAGATACATATACTGGGAGAGGATATGAGATTTATATATAAAATGGTAAAGTGATGGTAATAGGCTCAGTGCTTACTCACATATGATTTTGTCAGCGCTGGTGTCAGCACAGGGTTACATATCCATGTCCTGATGAATGATGAAGACCTCTTTTAATTAATTTGCTACATCTTTTGTTTTGCCAACATTGTTTGTGCAAGGTGGCGAATAATCTAAATTATCTAATACCAGATGACGCCCATAAAATTTTCATTCGATTAAAGGTCATCGAAAAACAAAGAAAAAATGACGATAACATTGTTAAGAAAAACATAACTGAATACACCAATTTGAAAAAAAGAAATTAAAGAAGAAGATGATAATTACTATAGTCTAAAGTTGAAGATGAAATTGCACTATTCATTAAGAAGTTGATTTTGAATTATTCACGGTTTTGTCATTGGGTTTCTACGTTTAGGTCCTTCTTCACCAAAAACAAACGGGTTTGGGCTGCTGCGTTTAGGCCCCGAGTGGGCTGTCGAGTGGGTTGGGATAATGATTATTTAGCATGCTTCAATTCAGATTCATCAAACATGATTTGGGGGTAGTTTGGTCATTCTAACTTCAGTCTATGGAGATAGAGCAGCCTCATCAAGAGATTACTTCAAAATGTTCAATCCCACTGACTTCGATACCTTCAATTTATGTTAGTGTTTTGGTCATCTTTTAAGTTTCGGCATATATAGAAGCAACAACTTCCTCTAAAAAGTCTACTCTTTTTTCTCACTAAAATTCTCTCTTTGAAAGAATTTCCCAGCAACTTCACCACCGACCCTAGGCTTTGGCTTGGGTGCCGGAGGCATCCTTCCTTCTTTTCTTCTTTTCATCTCTCTTCTTTGTTTCCTCCTGAGTTTTCTCAGGTTCTCTTTTTTTTTTTCCTCCCCTCTCATCTTCTATGTTCCTCCCCCTCCCTACCTCCCTCCTCCTCTTCCTTCACCTTTTCCAATTTTCTCCCTACCTTTTTATTTCTCGGTTTTTCCCTAAATTTAATCTCAGTTTTCCTTGAGCCAAGTCTCAACTATCATGGGCTTCATGCCCCTTATCTGGCGTTTTTTCACCTGCTTTTACTGCTTTATGTCTTTTAATTTCTCTTCCTCCCTTTTCAACTGTGATACCTCATCCCTATCCCACCATGTGCTCGGATCGGCAGGCTCCGATCACAAATTGGATATCAGATCCACTTCCCTCCGTCACTTCCCGTTCCCCAACCGGCATGCCGAATCCCATCGAGGCCTAGTGTTGGGTATGTTACACACTCATTTAGACTCACATTCTTCCCATATGTTACTTTGTTTGTATATTTTTGCAGGGGTTTGTAAGGGGATTTGGATCTGGTGTCTATTTTCTCGGTTCGGAGTTTGGCTTTCTATGAGGATGTGACAGCGGCGGCGATGTGGTCTTTGCTGCTGAAGATTAGGGTTTTTTATTGTTTGTTTTTAGCGGCCATCGGGCCTAAGTTTGTGTGGGCTTCCCGTTGTATCTTGGGTTGTTACTCTTATTTTGTTTGGGCCTTTTACCTTCTTTGTAGTTGTTTACCCGTCTCTTTTTGGGCCTTGTATTATTTTTTATTTTAATGAAAGTTGTCTTCGTGATAAAAAAAGAAAAAAAGAAAGAAAAGCAACAGCTAATGAAAACAATGTAAATCTTTTCGCTTGGTGAAAATTATTCAAAGGCTTCTGTAGTTCTGTGCCGGCTTTATTAGACAAATGGGTATCCATAGATGAGTATCTTGAATGGTACTCCTTCGATTGACTATTGCAAGTTTTGCAGCCTTTTCACAACATATGCTATTCATTTGTTTAAGTTTCTTTACTTTGTCGTTGTGGTTGGTACACCACTTTTAATCAGTGCCATAAGTTACGTGAACAAACATATCAACTGTTGAGTTTATAACATTATATGCACATAGGTTTCACTTTTTTTTTTTTTTTTTTTGTGGATAATTTTGGAGTACAAACATAGGATTTGAGAGACAAAAGACTGTCATTTATTTACACTAACAACTTCCATTTTTCCAATCTGTAATGTAACAGGCAAAAGAAAACTTACATGTAATAAGAAAGAAGAAGGTTCTACCTAAGAGCAACTCCAGCGGGAGCAACTGCTCGAGGGACAGGCTGCGGAACAGGGCTTGATTGCCCAAGGGAGGAAGTCCAGCGTTGGCTGGCGAGCGAGCACGAGCAGACCCAAGCTCCAAGGCCGTGGATTCGTGCCGGCCCGAGCGCCCGAAGGCTGTCTGACGTGGGCTAACGTCAGGGCGATGTCAGCCACGTTATTAAGGCACCCACCAGCCTTGAAGCCACCATTTCTGATCTTCTCACCGACGTTGGCATCCCTCCATCTCCTCTTTCTTTGTCTCTGTTTGCTTCTCCATCCTCCTCTATTTTATCTCAAACAATCGCCGCTGACGACGACGATGAAGTGGCTGTGGCAGTGGCTGATGCGGCGTTGAAGCACTTCTGCCGATGCGTCTCTTCCTTCTCCATTCTTTGTGCCATTTTTTCATTCAAATTTTGAACAATCGAGAGATGGATCTCTGTTGTCTTCTTTTCTTTTTCTTTTTTTTCTGTTTTTTCAGAGATATAGATGGATGGAAAAGAAGAAATTTGGAGGTTGTGGTTTTTTGAAACTCTCTTCTCTGCACTCTCTTTGCAACCCTCATCTCTATGGCGCACAAATTGCCAAGCCGAGAGAGCTTCGGCGAAACATCATTTTTCCGAACAGGGTAGGGCCTCGAAAATGTCATAGGATTTTACTTTTGCGACTTGATTTCATTCCAAAACATATATGTGAAATTTGGGTGTCCTTTGGTACAGTTTCAACGCGAGAGAATTTACTTCTAGAAAAAAATTATTATTATTTTATTGCCTATTACCAGGGCTATTGAAGTGCAACGGTGAAAATGCAAAAGGCGATTATTGTTCATTAAGGGTGGTTACTGTTCACTGGGTGGATAGCATAGTGTATTGCCTGGGGGGAGGGTTCCCACGCTGGAACTGCTCTAACGCAGAACCACACCCTTAGACATCTACTTTGTTACTCATGTATGTAAATATTACTCCGCCTTTGGAATATTCGGTTCCTCGTTGTAAATAAGGTTGCACATAAATTTTCACATCTATGTAAATAGTACTCCACCCTCGGACACGTATTTTGTCCCTCATTATATATCTATTTGTATAGTTAGAACTCTTTTACATGTTTTATACGGCTTTAAAACTGGCAGTAACGTGCGAACATCCTTGCTATTTATCTCTGAACTGAGTAGTTATGCATTTAAACAAGCAGTTTTAATTTTATTTCCTATGTTTGTTTCCAAAAGCAGTTCAAATGGTTGTTTCCATTCATCATTCTTTCTTTTGTTCACCGTTTTACAGTTATACTCCATGCCTGTACTTCTTTTTTAAACTACTGCCCATGAGTTTATTTAATTATTTTAATAGAAATTTTTATATCCATTCAATTTTGTTTGAATTTTCTGATAATTATTGATTTTATATGTTGACTAAGAATATTCTTCAAATTTTGAAAACAGGAAGAAAGAGGAGAGAAGAAGGTTGGAAACCTTCATGTGAGTTGAATTGAATTCGTTGTATTATGTAGGAAAAGAAAGGGATGTTATCAAATTGGCTTAAACAGACGACTTGGATTGAATTGAATTCGTTGTATTATGCAGGAAAAGAAAGGGATGTTATCAAATTGGCTTAAACAAACGACTTGGATTTTTCCTACATCTTTACCTTTTTCTTTAACAGACGCGACTTGGGATATTTTGGTTGCTACATTTTAATTCACACCACGTTTTATAATTAATTTGGATGTGCAGGAAAACTTATTATTACGAAATAAAGTTGAGGTTTCACCATATAATTAATTTGTGAAACCTAACAAGCATATGTCCTCTATGTCATTTAAATTGTATTGTCCACATATTAGGCTTAAAATTTCATCACATGTGAATAACGTGTTGAGAGTGTGAATTCCACAGAAAAAAAGAATGGACCTATTGCATGTGCTTAAAAAGATTTGAGGCTCTCTCTCTCTCTCTGTCTATATATAAAAAGAATGGACCTATTGCACGTGCTTAAAAGGATTTGAGGTACTCTCTCTCTCTCTCTCTATGTGTGTGTGTGTGTATATATATATGTGTATATATATATATATATTTTTTTTTTTTTAAACAAACGATATTATCTATACTAGGAGAAGGGGGTTGGCTTAGCCTCACATAGACTAGCAATAATGTGGTTCAAATTCGCCTTTGACAAAAATCAAACCTAAGACCTCTAACTTACAAATGAAGTAGAATATCACTATATTGTAATACTAAATGACGAGGTACTCTCTACATTATCAATTAATTTTATGAAACTTCAACCATCTTCAATTACAATACAACGCAATTGTACAATTAAAAAGTAACACTATTAAAAGGTTATGTCTATTGGGCTTTTGGACATGTTTAAGAGACAATCTCTATTTTACATCTTCAATTACAATACAGCGCAATTGTATGATTAAAAAGTAACACCTTGAAAGGTGATGTCTATTGGGCTTTTGGAGATGTTTAAGAGACAATCTCTATTTTACAAGAGTCCTCCATTGAGTTAAATGAAAGTTATCTAAAATGAAATTCAACTCATAAGCATACAAACCAGGTAACGTTGGAAGTGAAATAATGAGGAAGGTACAAATTATATTAAATGGCTTGATCTTCTTCTTTCTTTCATCCTTGTGATTACTGATGATTGTCCTTAATTAAGTAGGTGATAATATGATCAGCTAGTTGATCATGGAGTATTTCATGGTGGGTGATGTAAAACTTAGAGTCACAGGTTGTTTCTCTTCAATTGCATACCCAGTTAATGATGGGATGCATGAAGATTACAGAAAGGGTTCGAAAACCCGAGATACAGGGAGCTTTCAAAAATACAATCAGATAACAGAAGACTGTACCTTGACTTACAA